TGTGTGTGTGTGTGTGTGTGTGTGTGTGGGGGGGGGTGTTCAGCTTGAGAGAAAAGGCAACATGAGTGCTGCCTTTAGCTTTTTAGCTAGAAAGCCTGTATTTTGCACCGCTAGCTTAGTGCTATGTCGGTGCCGGGTGGGCATTTATTTGCTTTTTTTTTTTTCCACTTTGTCTGGTCAGGATTTGTGCTAGAAAGCTAAATTTCTGTAAACGCAGTTGTTCAGGTTTGCAAAACTGCGTGGAAATTCAAAACATTAATGTCAGCACATGATACAAGCTCGGACCTCATGCGTGTTCAATCACTTTATTTTGAAATATTTTGATGTGAAATTGTGCTAATTCATTCTGTGTAGAGCATAAATATGAGCACACACTGATGTTAGACAAGTGGTTCTGGATTCAGTTCATCCCAAATGTGCTTGAAGGGATGAGGTCAGGCTATGTGAAGGTCTGTCAAGTTCTTATCAACACTTGTCTTTATAGTCCTTGCTTTGAGCACTGGGGCACAGTTATGTTGGACGACAAAGGGCTTTCCACAAAGTTTTCAGGCTTAGTCCTAACTGAAATCCCCAAATTCAACAATTAATAGTTCTGTTTAAAACATCTGGTCATATTGAACAGGGCTATTCAACAAAACTGATAAGGGGTCCACAGTTTCTGAAAGCCAGCAGCTCAGGGGCCGGGCATCCAGCAATTAAAGTCATTATATATATGTATGATGACTATATAGTCATTATATTCATTATATTATAAAAGTCATTACTTACTTTATATATATATATGAATGTTTCTGTTCAGTACCCTGAGGTGGCTTCTGTTGTGACTTGGCGTTATATAAATAAACTGAATTGAATTGAATTTATGTAAAGAAACCAAGTATTACAGTGATCTGCTACCTTTGAAATTTGTTTGTTTTATTGCATTGAATCATAAATGCAATAAACAGAACCCAAAACTCAAACGCAGACCACCGACTTCCAAAATAAAAAAAATCACTCGTCACCAGTTGGATAGTGCTGACACAAAGAGATTCTCTACATAGCAGCTCTTACAAAGCCCTATAAAGACATGAATGAGTTACTTGTAAAACAGATGGAGATGCTGGGGATTGAACCCAGGACCTCATACATGCGAAGCACACGCTCTACCACTGAGCTACATCCCCATGAATAATTTGAATTTATGTTGTCCAACTGAGGATGTACTTCATTATTTAGCAAACCATAAATATTGGAGATGCATTTTCAGTGTTTGGTTATATATGAATTAAAATGCAGCTAAAATTATTTCACTTATTTGCCATTTCTATTAACTTTGGCTTGTCAGGATTTGTGCTACAAAGCTGCATTTCTGTAAACACAGAAGTTCAGGTCTGCAAAAGCTGCTTGGAAGTAAGAAACTTTAATGTCAATGCATGACGCAAGCAGGGAAATCATGTACGTAAAGCAACCACTGGTCTACATCCCCACAAACTTCTGAAGTCATAGTATGTATTATATAAGACAGTGATAGACATTGCTTTCTACTTTTGCATATTTTTTCTTTTTTTTTCTTTGTCAGCTGAAACAGGATCACATTTTGGATTTGATCACAGATCAAAATTGGTTTCTTTATGTGGAAAAGAAACACTCTTGGAGGGCTGTCTAGATTTTGAAATATTTCTATGGGAAATTGTGGCTATTCATTCTGTAGAGCATTAATAAGGTCACACACTGATGTTGGACAAGCAGTTCTGGATTTTTGTCATAATTTATTTCAATTCATCTCAAACGTGATGATGGAGATGCTGGGGATTGAACCCAGGACCTCATGCATGCGAAGCACACGCTCTACCACTGAGCTACATCCCCATGAGTGGTACACAAATATGTTGTCCAACTGATACTGAACTTCATTATTCTGAGCATGTACGTTATTCAGTGTAAGCATCAAGATTTTGTGCATTGGAGACGCATTTTCAGTGTCTTCCTGTAAGTTGTATATGAATTAAAATTGAGCTCATTAGATTATTTCTGTTAGTTGCCGTTTCTGTTTACTTTGGCTTGTCAGGATTTGTTCTAGAAAGCTGCACTTCTGTAAACACAGAAGTTCAGGTCTGCAAAAGCTGCTTGGAAGTAAGAAACATTTATGTAAAGATCACTGGAGATGCTGGGGATTGAACCCAGGACCTCATACATGCGAAGCACACGCTCTACCACTGAGCTACATCCCCATTTCACTGTTTAGTCCAACTGAGAATCCATCCATCGATTATTTTTACCTGCTTCTTTTTCGGGTCACGAGGGACACTGGTGCCCATGTCCAGCAGTCACTGTGTGAGAGGCGGGGGACACCCTGGACAGGTCTCAGTCCATCACAGGGACACATAGAGACAAACAAACATTTACTCTCTCATTCACTCCTAGGGATAATTTAGAATTACCAGTCAGCCTAACATGCATGTTTTTGGTCCTGAGTATCTGGAGAAAACCCACACATGCACGGAGAGAACATGCAAACTCCACCCAGAAAAGCCCCCCGGCTTTTTGCTAACTGAGAATACATTGTTATTCAGCGTAAACAAACATTTTGTGCATGCATATTGGAGATGCACGTTTAGTGTCTTCCAATAAGTTATATATGAATTAAAGTGATGAGGGTGAGGTTCTGCCTCAAGTGGAGGAGGTCAAGCATCTTGGAGTTGTGTTCATGAGTGAGCGAAGGATGGAGCGTGAGATTGACAAATGGATTGGTGCAGCGTCTGCAGTATTGTGGACTCTTTGCCGGTCCGTTGTGGTGAAGAGGGAGCTGAGCTGTAAGGCAAAGCTCTCTGTTTACTGGTCAGTCTATGTTCCTACACTCACCTATGGTCACAAACTTTGGGTAGTGATCAAAAGAATGAGATGGTGGATACAGGCGGTTGAAATGAGTTTCCTCCAAAGGGAGAGCTTGACTCTCCTTTAGATATAGGCTGAGAAGTTCATTTATCTGGGAGAGACTCAGAGTAGAACCGCTGCTCCTCCACATCAAGAGGAGTCAGTTGAGGTGGTTTGGGCATCTGGTAACGATGCTCCCTGGGCGCCTCCCTAGGGAGGTGCTTCAGGCATGTCTGACTGCAAGGAGTCCCCGGGGAAGAACCAGGACACGCTGGAGAAACTATGTCTCTTGGTTGGCGTGGAAACGCCTTGGAGTCCTCCCGGAAGAGCTGGAAGAGGTGGCTGTGGAAAGAGATGTCTGGACCTCCCTGCTCAAGCTGCTGCCCCTGACTTCAGAATGAGTGGAAGATAATGGATGGATGGATGGATGGATGGATGGATGGATGGATGGATGGATGATGGATGGATGATGGATGATGGATGATGGATGGATGATGGATGGATGGATGGATGGATGGATGGATGGATGGATGGATGGATGGATGGATGGATGGATGGATGGATGGATGATGGAGGGATGG